CTGTGCTGAATATAACATGTTGTTTTGTTAGCAATTCCATGCACCACGCTTGTTTGAGGCAATGAAGGCCATGAAGGCCATGAAGGCTTTGCCCAAGTCCAAGGCCATGAAGGCCATGCATAGTGTAACATACAACCAGAATTTCTATATGCCAACATGTTTGCCAGGCCCAGAAGAAGCCAGCCATCCAGACCCAGGACCAGGCGCCAGCCATTGAGGACCATGAGGCCACATTCTTTGCAGTGTATTCGTCAGCATTCCATGCTTCACACTGCATTCCATGTTGTCCAACACGCAGCACCCAGTGCTTCCAGGTCATTTCCACACACGCAGCACTTTGTGCTTCCAATACATTTTGGCACACGCAGCACTCAGCGCTTCCACTTTCACTTGGCCAGGCCAGAAACCTCATCACGGACGACTGGGCGATGTTTCACCTCAGAGTGAGGTGCTCCAACACCAGGCACCCAAGCCAAGGCACCGGCAGCATCTTTCTGCGGCGCCTTGCAGAGGTGTGGCAGTGCACAAGCTGCCAGCAGAACTGGGTCCAGAGCTTGAAGGACCACGGCGCCGAATGGTTCTAAACCATTCGGCGCCACTTCCACCAGCTGCCCAAACACACCCCCAAACCACAACTCCACTCCAACAGCATTCCAACATAGCCACTAGCTGAGGCATTCAAACACCACCCACAATAGCCAAACCCTTAGGCAGTTCTCCAAGAAACCCAAAAAGGCCAAGCTGGTGGAGGTGTAGCAGGTTAGGGCTCCAGGCTTCCACACCCAGGAGTCAACAAACCAGTGTAGCACTACAGCCCTAGCCCAAACCCTAACAATAAATCCACACCCAGCACAACCTCCAAAGTTTAGGGGTTGCTTCCAGTGGAAGCCTGGCTGCAAGCTGGAGGCCGCGCACGGCTGCCGTTTGAAGAGAAAAAAAACGTATAAGTACATTGTTTTTCAACAAACAGCACTCAGTGCTTGAATTGATATTGTGAAACATGAAATAAAAAGAAGTCAAGAATAGTAAGATATATTTGCTTGGAAAAAATAGTTCAATATATTGAACTATTTTTCATAGAATTAAAAAAATAGTTCAATATATTGAACTATTTTTGGTATAGCACAGAAAATAGTTCAATATATTGAACTATTTTGTTCATATTACATAAAATAGTTCAATACAACAAACTATAATATTTTTGCTACATATTATTCATGAATGAGTCAAAAAGAAATACGTATAATCAACTAAAACAATTTGTAATTATATTTATATAAATTGTATTTGAGGTTAAATAGATGTAATGTGGTGTGGTGATGGGGTCTTGGCAATAAATTCAAGTGTTGTGAAATTAATGGTGGAAGAATGTCAATCAACTACATGTATTAAATCCTGAACCCTAAAGTTTGAACCTGAAAGAATTAAGACTAAAACTTGAGCATTAAACATTACACATCAAACCCTAGACCATAGGCCATTATCATGTCTACTGAATGGATCTATTATGTATGGTCATGGCTTTACATGCTGTGCAAATATAGTGCTGTCATAATACATATGTATTCAGGTATGATATACATTTAAGATTTAAAAAAGCACTCTTCCTATGCAAATATATTTCAATATAAAACAAAATTAACAAACTGCACTAATTTTGAATGCTGTCAGCCTTAATTTCTAATTTGAATTATGTTTGGCGAATGCAGTTAATCATTTAAAAAAAAACAAGTTACAGGTTGGGAGTGCTGAGATTATTGGCATGCAGAAAGTTTACGGGAATTACTTTAACGTATATGTATTCCATGCCAGCATGTGCAACACCTGAAACATGAATCTGGTATTGTTTGGATTAATATCCATTAATGTTAATATGTCTGATGCAGATTGCTGGCTTCATACTTCGAATAATATTTTAGCCAACCTACATACACAATAATTTTGGCTTAAACATTTTACATTTTAATTGTAGTATTCGTATGGCGACATGCATTGATTTGTCATTTCTAATAACATTATGATTAATTATACAAACTATAAAAACATGTTTTATGAAAGCAAATACACATATTCGCCATCTTTCACAATTCTTTTGAATGTTGCGAAAAATGCTTTGGAATTGTAAATTTTCATATCATGCTTACACAAATATACATCAAAAATTAAAATTGTAGTTTTGTTTGCACACATATATATTTCTCCAGCATTTAATGCTCAGGTGTAAATAACCATGGATTGCAGCATTTGATGCTTTTGCAATGTTGTTTTTTGGCAACAGCATTAAATGCTCATGTGAATTTTTGGGTACACAGCATGAAATGCTTCTGCAATTTGGGTGGCTGCATATGTTTGTCTGGATTTGCGAAATGAAGCATCATGCAATAAGAATTAATGGCTTCATATTGCATTGCTTGCTGCCTGCAGCCCCACTGTTGGCTGCAAGCCACAAAGTCAAGTTTTCCAGTACCATGGACATCCACATAGAGGATACTGCATACACTGAACATGGTGGTGAAGTCTGGTTCACCATCTATTTCTCCAATGGGTAGAAACAATGGTATCCAGTTTGCAGATAAAGCACCTGCAGATTTCACCTTCTTATTCGACTATATTCAGCCAAGGTACCATCCACCAACACCAGGACCAGCGTTCGAAGAAGGATCCAGTTGCTGGCAGAATAACCACAGAGTGGTTACCAAGCTGGTACCAAGCAGAAGCACCATGAGGACAGAATCATCATCAAGCATTCTGGCACTAGCAATCCTGGTTGCTTGCATTTATGAAGGATCACCAGAGCAGAGCTGAGCCAGCAACTTTTGTACAAGTTTCCATACCACTTGTACCAATCCAAGATCGATTGCTGGTTCGCATGAGCAAAAAGCATTTAGCTTGCATGTGCCCAGATTTCTGGTTCACTTACCAGCATACCATGCTTTCCAATATCCAGCATCAAATGCTTCCTTTGTTCCCTCCGCAAGATCATGCGCACAAGGCTTTGAATCAGCCTTCCATGCATTCAGGTGTTTTGATTGGCCACACATTGCAGAAGCCAGGGTGCCACCCAAATTTTTATTGCCTGAAACTTTCATTCCATTTTGCTTTTGACATTACCCAGCTACCTTTGCCATTGTGGGATGAAGAATTATTTTTGTTGGCAACAATCCAAATGCATAGCATTCAATGCTTGGCAATTAACCAGCATTACACGCTGGCTTGCTTCTTGACCCTTGTGAAGCACATGTTGGGATTCTGCACTGCAGTGCTAAAGGACCAAGTTGCTTCCCCAAGCTCTGTAGGCCAGAAAGCTTTCCAAGCACTGCCAGCCATGTTCACTGTCCAGACCTTCCTGGCTGAAGTGGTTGCCACAGAAGATCTTGCGAAGGCCAGAAATGGACAGGACCCAAGCTTTGCGCAGGCCATGGGTACCCAGCTCCAGCACAAGCTCGAGCACATGGCTGCCCTGAGCCACCAGGATGCAGTGGCGCTGTTCCAGGCATTGGCCAATTGCTAGAAGAGGTGACAACCACACTGAGAAAGACTGTACAAGCCAAGCTCCTCCAAGGTGGTGGGAACCAAGCAAGCAAGACCACCACGCAAGCCCAAGAGCGAGCATTTTCAAATGGAAGCCAGCACCATGTTCCAGGCTGTGGACACAATCTGTGCCAGGCTGAGCACCTTGGGCTTGACCAGTGCCAAGGAAAGCACCAAGAGAGCAGCTGTGGGAGCGCTGGTGGCAAGACCCCGAAGATCCCACCATACACCAACATCTATGAGTTGGTGATCCACTTCGAGCAAGTGCTGTCCACCAGCACAGTCTACCACAGCTGCAGCAGCCACAGCTGCAGCAGCCACAGCTGCAGCAGCCACAGCTGCAGCTGGCACAGCTGCACCAGCCCCAGCGCAGAGCCTCTCACAGGCAGTTGGCCGGCCAGCTGCACTGCTCCACTTCCTTGGCAGCCAAGCTTGCAGCAGTGGGCCAACCAGACACAGCAGCTGCAGAAGCTGCCAGCCACCACTGCCAGCAACTGCTCCTGCAGCAGAGCCAAGCCAGAATCCAGCAGAGGGAAGCCAGGTTTCAGAGCCAAGTGGGCAGGAGAGCGACACCACTCAGACCATGCAGCCAAGGCCAAGGCGTAGGCCAGAGAACAGGTTGTGGCCAGTGCAAGAGCCCAAGCTTTGGGAGCCAGGTTTGGAAGCCCCGAAGCCTACCAGGCAGACCTGCAGGCCAAGAACTCTGCCAAGAAGAACTGAGAGTCCAAAGCAAGTGAGCCAGCAGGCATGGGCATAGCAGAATACTTAACTAGGCCAGCATTCCCAAATTCAACTCCAATTTAAATTTCGCAATGTAATGCACAAAAATGCTTAAGAGTGCGATTCTGAAGCTCTTTCACCTTGAGCTTCAGAAAAAGCACTGCTTGCCCATGCTGCTGCGCACTGGTTCCAGGGGCATGGCCAGACAATGGCCATGGCAAAGCACACGCAAAAGCATGTGGGGAGAAGCAAAACCATGCAGCGCTGCATGCGAAGAAAAAAATCAGCATTCAAAACTTGCCACGCAGCATTTTTTGCCCATGTTGTGCCATGCATATACTTGACAGAAGAATGCTTTGCACACCTTCCCAGCACCAGGTGCTTCAGATGTCTTCCTGCAACATTCTGCTAATGTGTGTTGGAAGTTGTCACAAGTGGCCAAGCATGGCTCTCTAGCAACCAGAACATATTCAATGTTTCCATTGGGCGCCAACTTCTTGGTGGAAATTTTGACAAGCAAGCAGATTATAGTCACCAGACTTTGAACTTACACCTAAAGCCTTCAACCCAAAACCCTAGAATCTAGAAGCATTATATTTGCACTTTAAATTTACAACCCAAAAATTTAAGCAGCCAAACAAAGCCAAAGAACAATGAATGCTTGTCATCTATAATGCAAAAATTCACAGTCAAGCAATATTTTAATTTCAAAAAATTACCCAGAGAATCGCTTTAAAGTGGACTTGGCCATGAAGCCACATGCAACAGGTTCCCCCAATGACAAGGTCTCTGCCAGACCAGCCAAGCTCCAGACGCTCAATTCTTTCAGAAGAGACTTGCCATTCATGAGCCAGAATGCCTTGCAAGCTCTGCTCCAGAAAGTCCACAAAGAAGGATTGCCAGAAGTCAGGCATGCCAAGGGCATGAAAGAGGCCACTCGCATGAAATTGTCCAGCATGAATGCATATGGGCCATTATTGTTACATGAGCCAGTAGACACCATTGATGGCCAGCCTGCAACCATCTGGATGGCCAACACCATGTCTCTCTTGGCTGGACTTTACCAGCAAGGAGGTCAGTGGGCAAGGCTGCTCCATGAAACCCACAGCAGCAAGCCCTCACAGAAAGAAGCCCCATGGAAGTTGCTGCTGTACTCTGATGAGGTGTGCCCAGGCAACCAGTTGAGCCACAGGCTGGAAAGAAAAACCATGGCAATCTATGGATCATTCGCAGAATTCCATAACATGCCCCAGCATGAAGATGCATGGTTTGTGGTTTCCATCGCCAGAAGTCAGGAAATCTCCAACATTCAGGCTGGCATTTCCCAGATTTTCGCCAAGGTGATCAAATCCATCTTCATGAATCCAGTTGCAAATCCCAGACTTGGGGTGCGCTTGCCACATGCCACAGATGCCAGGCAAGACATCAGGCTCCATTTTACAATGGGGGGCTCCATCCAAAATGGATTGGCCATGAAGCAAACCTTCTGCACCAAGGGCGACTCAGGGACCAAGTTTTGCATGCTCTGCAACAACATTAGGTCCATGCCCCAGGCAGATTCCACCAGCCGGGAGGAAGAGGATATCCCAGGCTCCAGTGTTTCCACTTTGGCAGAATGTGAACTGGCCACTGATATAGAAGTCCTGGCAGCTTTCCAGAAGTGCCACCAGAATTCTGCCACCATGAGCAAGGAGCAATTCGCAATTTACCAGAAGGCAGCTGGCATCACCTACAACCAGCACAGCTTGCTGCTGATCCAGGTTCCTATACCCTAAATTGCAATTTCATATAAAACCCGAAAAATGTGTCATGTATATAAGGGTTTAAAGCTTAGGGTTATATCTGGTGTTTATAATACAGGGCTTCAAGGAAAGTCTTTGAAGAAAGGTCTTTACTTGCTTTGCCTTGCTTCTGCTTATTGGAGATCTTAGCTGATGACATTGCTGCCCTGCAGGTCCTCCTCCAGGCCAACCTGCTGAAGCCAGTGTCTGGGTATATCCATGACTGGACGCACACCATGGCATCCCAAGGGGTTACGCAGAGATCCATTTACATATTGCTGTCTGAAGCCAACGCTTGGAACCAGATGGAAAGTTTTCTCCAACTTTGGACTCTGCCAGGTGTAGTTGGCAAGAAAATCAAGCTCCATGATCTCTTCACAGCCAAGAGAATCAAATTTTACAAGGACAACAAAAGGTTCAAGTGCACAGCCAGTGAATGTTTGGGCTTGACCACATTGATCAAGTACATGGCCCAAGCGCTGTTTCTGCCAGCAGGGGTCCAGGTGGACCAATGCCACAGCTTTGTGGACATGGCTGCTGCGCTGGAAATGCTGCAAGCCACTGCACAAGGCAAGGTATCTCCAGCAACTCTCCAGCTTCCCAGCTGCACATCTTTGCATATTTTTGCATGTTTTCATGTTTTTTCTTTAAATAAATGCTTTCTATGGGGTATACAGGGTTTAGAGTTTAAGGGTTGAAGGTTGCTGTTGCTGCTCTTCTTTGCAGGCAACAAGTGGAGAAGGCTCTGACCATGTTCAAGCATGCTGGAAATGAAGCCCAGATGCTCAGAAAGCACCACTGGCTGCTCCACTTGAGCACCCACCTAGCAGCATGGCGATTTTTGCCCAACTGCTGGCCGTTGGAAAGAAAGCACAAGATCCTCACCATGTGTGCCACCAACATGAAGAAGATCGGCAGCTACACCAAGAGCCTCATTGAAGAGGTTCTCTGCCATGATATCCATAGCTTGAGAACATCTGAGCATTTTCAGGCAGGGGTCCATCTGCTTCAGAAGCACGCTTGCTCCAAAGAGCTCCACAAATTTCTGCGCAGTTCGGTTTTCCAGACAAAAAACCCCAAGGAAGAGGTCTGTACAGCCACTGCAGCTATGCTGGAGACGGGAGGCCAAGTGCATCAGAAGGATTATGTTTGATCCATGACGCAAAGGCCATGGGGATGGCAGATAGCCAAAGTTGAGGCCCAATTTGAGGCCCAGTGCCTTGTGTGTTCCTTGGTGACCACCTGCCAAATGGCGGAGTACAACGCCACCACCCATTCAGCTTTGGTCCAGCCAACAGCATCTTTGCACTTTGTTCCAACTGCAAGGATCTTGTGCCCAGTCATCTGGGCCACAGAGCAGCAGAGATTGCGAATCTTGATTCCCTGGTCCTTTCGCCCTGGATGAAAAATCAAAGTGCCATGCAAAGCACCATGAGGGATGTTGCAGCAAGTTCCTACTCCCCCAGCACTTGAGTGCTTACAATTTGCCCAGCTTGCCAGCACTTGGCGCTTCACCCCATGCTTTGCTCCAAGCAAGCAGCTTCATGTCAAACAGTGCAGATTCAGCACAGACACAAGAAAATATTCTTATATTTTCTTTTGACATATATATATATAGGTTAAGAAAATAAGTCAGTAGCATTACATTCCTGAATATTTCAAAGTCTTACAGTTGAGGCAAAAAACAATTCCCCATGGCCCAAAAAATTTTGGATTCCATGATAGCACAGAAGTCCACGCAGTCTTGCTAGCTGGGCTAGCTGGCATCAACTCCAAATGTCTGTTCGAATCCCATTCACCTATAAATCATATATATTCAGAAGAGTATAGAAATATTCTGTATAGAGCAACCAGTCTTCTTTTTTATCTCTGAATGTCCAAACAAAAAGCAAATAATTGTTAGCAGCAGCTTACTTTGTAGAAAATGATTTATGAATAAGGTATATTTTGTGAATGATGCACACCAGATTTTGTAGAGAGTTATTTTTCCACTGTCATTGTTTATGTTTCTGCAGAATACCTTTTAGATGAGCATTTTGCACAAAAAGCTAAATAGTTACCAGGGTTTAGCAATCAGGGTCTAAGGTCAACTTAAACAAGCTAAGTCACTAGCAAGGACACCCCCGACCCAAGTAGCTGTTCATCGAGCGCAGCGCCGGGTCGATGGGGGTCGTCGACGGGCGCCGTAGTCAGAGATGAGCTTCTCGAGGATGGTTCGAAGCACGGCGTTTCGTCGCTCCACCACGCCAATGGAGTCCACGCGCACGTTCACGGTTGCGAGACGGTCGTCGAACTCGCCCTGGAACAAAGGTAGCAGCCTTGTTGGTAACCCGTAAGGCCTGAGCCAGACACGCTCACCTTTCGCCCTGAGGATGGCCGCCTGATGGAAACCCATCGCCGTGTCGGCCAGCCCGAAAACCTGAACTGCCTTGCCGGTGCACAGCCTGACGTAAAAGAAGTCGCCCTGGATGAGCTCATTGAACTGAGACACGGTCGTTGAGATGGTGCCAGAGGACGCCGGCTTCGGCTGTCGGGGACCCTTCAATCTCTCGCACGTTGCGCAGCGTAGATGCTGTGACACATTCGAGGACCGAAGCATTGGGAACTCCACGGCGAAGAAGAAGTCGGCATAGCTCCTGAGAAGACGGGTGTCCAAGATTTGCACGCACGCACGCCACTGATCTCCTGATTTCGGGAGGCACTTGAGCACCAAGCGTAGGGGAGCTGATGTCGGTTGGCAAGCCTGAAACCGGTAAGGAAGGATCATCAGCCTCTCGGCCGCGATCAAGAGAACGAGCGTCCAAGGAGTCGCTATAGATGAACACAGCGTACTTGACAGCCTTATCGAAGCGGCTTGGGATGCCTAACCTCCTCCAGCTGCTCGACTTCGATGCTGCGGGCGCCGTTGGTGTACTTCAGGAGCACGCCTCGCGCGCTATGTGGCTGGCCCATCAAGAACCGATGTTGAATTGGCGTGGGCGCCGCCTGAACCTTGACCGCGCGCATCCTGAAGAGGTCCTGGACTTCCTTGCCGAGAGTGCCGTTGATGTCGACGTCTTAGGCGCGCTTGCTACCTGAAGAAAAGTCTCAGCTCAACTGCTCAAAGCGCCTGGGCATACACCTGGAAGCTGCCGAACCTGAGAAGCTCCTTCTCGGCAACAAAGTCGCGCAAGTGACGGAGGATCTCGTACACGAACGCGCGCGGGTAGACCTGCGAACGTTTGGTCTGGGAACCTTGGATGGGTGCGCAGTACTGGAGGTCGGAGGCAGAGAGTTTACAAGAAAGCCGATGGCATAGTCCAGGAAGGTTGGTGGGTTTCACCACGGGCACCCCTTTGCTGGTCTAAGTGCCATATGCCCCGAGGTCGGCACTTGCCACGCTGGCGCCGGGCAATCCTCTGAGACCACAGCCGCGACCTTTGAGGATTCTCGATGAGGAAGCACCTGCCAGTGTCTGCTTGCTCCTGACACAGCTCAGCCACAAACTGACGACGCGGTCGGTCCAAGATGCGGATGTGCTCCAGCTCGGGGCAGGTGATGGGAGTAGTTCAGGTTCTCATTGAAGAGGCAGTAGCGGGCGCAGGGTACCCAATCATGATCAGCCATGCCTCACCATGGAACGGATGTAGTCCTGCACGTCCTTCTTGTCAAGGCCCCAGACGCGAGGTCAATGGCCGGGTTGGCATGCACCGAAGGTCGGGCTTCACAACGCTACCGTGGCCGAGACAAAGCTGTGGGCAAGGCGTGGTAGACATCAACCTCCTTCTCCAAGACCCGGGCCGATCTCTCGATGTTGCCAACCAAGTAGGCGCTTAGGGGACCTCCTGACCACGTTGACCTGTAGGCGTTGGGATCTTCAAAGGCGGCGCCATAGCCTGAGTGGAGGTCGTAGCTGTTCAGGTCGCTACGCAGAACAGTGAACGTCTGATGCTGCTTGTTCTTGGGCGCGAGCGTGTCCTTGAAGTCGGGCCTGCGTGCGGTAGCGGAAGGCTGCGAAGAAGAAGCTCCTGAAGAAGAGGCACCTTGTCCAGACACTTTACACACATCATCGCCCTGCCAGTGCCCCACTTCCCCGCAAGCCGAAGTCTTGTTTCCCCAGTACTTCCGGCACCGATGACCGTCAGAACCTGGACCAAGTCATCCAAGTCCTCGCCGCCATCACCTTCTTCGGCGCCATCGGCTTGGTCATCCTGACTCTGCTCGTCATCCTGGTTGGTGTTGTCTGCCTGCTCGCTGGCATCTGTGACGAAAACCTTCCGAGGCCCAAATTTCCCACTGCCTTTGCCGAATTGATGTCTAGGAGCTCCTTGACGCGGCGCGGCGCGATCATTGGACTTGCCGGCGTCTACTGATCAGCTGGCCGTCCTTGCCTATGACTGGAGGGGGTGGCTTGAAGTCGAGGAACTGCATGAGCAGGGATTCCGAGATGTCCTCAGAACCCAAAGAGTAGCGCGCACCAACCAAGACAAGCCTCTGGTCCTGTGGGCTTAGGCCTGCTTGATCAAGAAGTCTGCTGCCCCTGGCATCACCATCATACATGGCAGTCACGTTGATGTCCACGGCCGCCTGAAGATTGCGTTCAATTCTTTGGTACCTGTTCACAAAGGCACGGAGGTGTTCATTCGGATACCTGTTGATGCTAAGAACCTACGCTTCTGATACACCAAGCGCTGGGACATGGGACCACGCAGCTGCTCCAAGACATAGTTGATGCCCTGGGAGCTGCTAATCTTATCAAGCGGCGCATGCTCTAACTCCTGCTCGGGTTCACCACTCAACGCATTGTAAATTGTAAAGGTGAAGGGGGGCCTCGCGCTTGCTCATGTAAGGCTCGACTAGAATCTCCCACAGCCGCACTTGCTGCTCATACTTTGCGAATGCTCTGAGGTCGTCCTTCCCATAGGCCCACTTCGGCGGAGCAGGCGGCGCTCCGCCACGCCCATGCGGCTGTTCCACGATGGCGTCGTGGAACTCGCTCCTGTCTTCTTCCTCTCTGAGGCCAGGCTCGAGAGGTACTTCGGGATCAAGCCCTCCAAGAACGGCAGGGAGCGCAGGGACAGCGGCGCCAAGTAGTCCGGGATCGGGTTGGGCCACGAGGTGGAGAGCTCACCGTGACCAGGGAGTCATTGGTCAAGGTCTCCGACTCGGCCTGCTCACCCCAGTCTCCGTCATTGTTCTGCGCCGTCTCCTGAGAAGGGGGCGCTGTCGAAGGTTGTCCAGAAGGAGTGCCGGAAGATACCGGAGGGGCGGTGTTCTCGGCGCGAAGCCAGGGAGGAAGTGGCTCCTGCCCTTGTGGGAAGTACATCCAATTTCCATGCCCGTGCGGCTGCATGCGTGCTCACCCTCTCGATAATAATCACGGCCGCCACATCCTGAACAAAACCATTCACCAGAGGAAATCCTGCGAAGCTCGGCGCGCTGTCACAAGCAGCACAACGCCAGACAGGCGCGTAGGCTCCCGCACAATCATGCGCAGTGTCTTCGGTATGCCCTTAGATCGCACTTGCACGCTGCGAAAGCCAATCGAATCCACCCCAGTCCTCATCATCAGCAGCTTCGGGTTGGCGCTCAAAATCGGAAGCCACGTGGAAGATCTGAGGGATAAGAGGCATCGCAGCGGAACAGCAGGCTCCACTTGTGCAAACACTTGCGAAGCACTAAGGCGTGAATGCACACAAGCAAAACAGCTCAGCGCGGAATGTTTTCCATGCAAAGCAGAAAGGAATCAAGCTCAAGGGGCCCGCTTCGAGAAGAAAGGGCCGCAGCATCATGCTCATGAGCGCTCAGTGCCAAGTGACAGCCCTCGCGCAGAATCATCACTTTGCGTTTGGTTTAGGGCGTCTGTTTAGCATCACAAATGTCGGCCAAGGGCCTAAAGGTTCGCAGCCAAAGTACAAAATCTCGAGAGAAAGCTCAATGAGTGCATGGTGTTTGCACAAGGCTTGTGTGGCATTGTGAGCCTTACAGAAACAGCTTCACATGTGTTTTTGTTGTCGTCTGGTTCGTTACATCAAAGGAAAGGTATGTGACAAGCTCCAGGCCTCCAGGTATTAGGCTTGAGGCGGTGCGGAGGCTGCCTAGACTCCGAATTCAAAACATAGTGCAAAGCTGATTCGGAAAACAAAGTATTGCCTGTGTTTTGCGACCGTCACTGTCGTGTTCGTGGATTGCTTTGTGGAGGGAGTTGGAGGCCCAAGATAGCGCTCCACGCGAAGGCTCGCTTCAGATAGGCAGAAGGTGCGAACATGTGCGGACGCTTGATGCGAGCTTGGCCTCAGGGCGCAGGGACGCCACGATTATCTTCCTAATTGCATAGGCCACGGTCGAGTTATTTGTTCGGCAGATGGACACGGATAAGGTTGTCGTTCTTTTTTGTGTCTCCTATCGTTTTCACCCAAGATGCTGTTTTGAAGGAATGGAACGGCCGCTCCCGGCAACTGGATGGATTTTCATTCTCTGCTTGTACAACGACATACATTTGCGTTCTCTAGGAGAATGTAGAACTGAAGCAGTGTGAACGGCCGTTCCCTGTGACCGCATGACTTTTCGTTCACTGGTAGTACACAGATGTATTATAGGCGAGGACACAGAAACCGCTCTCCTCCACCCCTACCAGAAACGCGGAGAGGTGACGGGGTACCCTATAGCTGCGTTTCACTGCAGGATCCAGCTCCCACACTGGAAAGTTCAGGGGCGTGGAGGCGGGTTGGGGCCAGAAGGGCGCGCAACACCACTTTCCACGCACCCTGAAATTCCGTGACTTTCGAGCCGCAAGCCTCGCTGCACCTTCTGCAAAGATGCACCACCGCTTTCTTGTCGAAAAAACTACGAAATGTCCCGCGCACGCACAGCAGACGCCCAAGCGCCCGACCAGTCTTCGAACCGCAGCGACACAACACGCTTTCAAAAATGAAATCACTTCGTTTAGCGATTGTGGCTTTTAACACGAATTTCGGGCCCCTCTTGCCAGGGAGAGCCTGACCGCCTCTGGGGTAGGCAGCATTAGCCGGAGGCTCTAAATTCACGTAGATTGCTGATAATCTGCATGATGACGATGGCAAAGCTGCCTCATCTGCATGCGCAGATAAAAGCACGATTGAGGTCCATGCACTCGCTCTGCTACTCCTGGGCGGGTCGAAGAGAAATCCAAACCTAGGCGACGGCATGCACACACTGCAGACAAGAGAGCCACAGCCAAAAGTAGGAAACCTTGCCCTCTAGCCCGCCTCCTGGAGATCTTGTCTTGCAAGGCCTCATTTAAAAGGCGGCTGCACGGCCCCTCTCTTGTCTGCAACCCCGGCCTTGCCGCCCGGGCCGGCGTGGCAAGGCCAGCAAGGCCAGCGAAGCCAGCGAAGCCCATGCTGGGCCGCTTGGGCAGAGGATCCATGTCCTGGTCGCCCTTTCGAGGTGCCATTGGAGTGCCGTCCATGGAAGCCCGCACCTGGGTGGCCCTAAGAAGTCGCGTCAGAACTTAAGGTGGCATGATCATTTGCTTACACTGCAAGGTACGCTAGGCCGCTAGGTTCGTATAGCCAGTTTCCTGATTACTGCCTCTCCGCTTCACGATCAGATCTTTCCCAAGGCCCTAACCTGATCATCGACGGCTGAATAGTCACCTGCTAGGGAGATGCATGCCTAATCAGCTGGCAGAACCATAGCGCGAGCAGTAATGACCACCGCGTCAGCTGCGTTCTGGTGATACCCTGGCTCAAACGTTCTGACAAGAGCTGATGTTGACAATACCTGTGCAAAAAAGGAGAGCGGATGCTCAACTTCAACAGCTTCAACAATTCGAGCAGCACCAGCTCAAACGGCAAGCCGCTACATGCAAAAGACCTCCAACTGATGTGCCAACGCTTGCAAGCTCTTTACATGCACGGATTGTATCCAGCCTGGACGGAACACAGAAAAATTCCGCTTCAGCTGCCGCATGGCGAGCGACAATTTGTCAATGCACTTGAGTCTTGCACTAACACAAGGGGCATTGCCAAGAAACCGTCTAGGCTCCAGGGTGAAAGTGTTTAAGCATTGAGAATTCCTTTGTTGACCAGTGCTCTCATCAAGCTTGCAATACCTCAAGTCAAATTGTAGCACCTGCAGAGAACCATCTGTTGAGTGCATGGCCATGAAATGTCACAGGAAAACGAACAAAATACATCCAAGTCGGCCCGTTGCAGCGATGCGCTCAGTCACTCTGCCTTTCAGTGCCTTGTGAATCTGGTAAGAGTCCTGAGAGGGGAACTCCAGGAACCGTCAGTTCAAAGGACACTGCGAAAAGCTCCTCTTTTTTCTTCAGGGCCCGCAAGCTGCTTGGCATTTACTGCAAGACTTGTACGTGGTGTACCTATCACAACCAAGAATCATTCCGGAACCACGCCTGCACGTTCACACATACCGACTGCTGGCGAAAACTTGAGACGACGCATACAACGCTTGAAAAAAGCGTGCGTTTCGATGCGACTAACGTCAACTCCGAGCCGGGCCAGGAACCCGATTTCGCAGAACGCCACTTGCACTCGAACATGGCAGGATCAGGAAGTTATCGCAGTATGGGCTTGCTCCTGTACCGTGTGCTTGCCTGCTACATGGGTATCGCGGCGAAATCCGCGGCTCGTAGGCAGCCTCAAGCAGCACTCGCATGCGATACTTCACAACGTGGCCTCAAGCAGGACACGAGCGCAGCCATGCGCAGCCAATTCCAGACTGCAGGTGACAGCAGATGACTGCAGATGGCAGGAACTCACTGCCACATGACCAGCTGGCCAATGAGTGCTGCGTGCTGAAATACACCGCAGCAGCCATGAAATAACAGCTGCCTGCAGATACTGGAGTGAAAGAGACTCGCAGAGACGTGCCATGTGAGATTCACATGGCCAGGTCTGACATGTAAATGCCTTCGCAAGTCTTCACACATGCTACTGACGCTGCAGTATGCTGCAGCGCACCAATGCTATATTCTTGAAATTGCGGTGATGATAAACACCTGTGCCTTGCGTCAGGCCTTTACGGGCAAAGCATCCCATGACTCAAGGTGACACTCACCATCGTGCAACGTAACTAAGTGTAGCTTTCGGTATGTGCTCAAACCATTTCTGACAACGTGCACGTGTCGATTCTGCGCGACGAGGTCCCGCTTCGTCGTTGACGAGGACAGGCGATTCCGGTAATCACACCCTTCATACATCTTCAAGCAATGGACGCCAAAATGTCTTCAGAAAGCCAGTTAACCTTAGCCTGGATCTTGCAATCTGCAAGGCGTGACAGGTTCGGAATCGCCTGCTCAAAACATTAGTGCTGCAGCATGGCAACTGCGGTTCCGTTCCCATTGGTCCGGGTCAGCCGATCAGCCTTCAGACAGCTCCGGGGCACAAGAAATGCTCCGACTGCGCGCAAGCACCTCCACCTTTCCGTTGGTCCCGTTGGTCCCATTGGTCCCGTTGACCTTGTGGGGCGCGCCTCTGGCAACCTTCAGCAGGGTTCACGTCTGTTGCGACAAGCAAAGCCAGCCAGTACGTCATCAACTTGCCCGCACATGTACCCAGAACGCCTTTTCAAGGAATAGCCTGCCAGAGTCCTTTGCGCCGTTCGTCTGGCCATTCAGCCGCAACTGCGCGCGGCAGGGCAGTGGCTTGCACGGTCCAGGGAACATTGCTACATGTTGGAAGATCTAACTCAATAGTTCTTCCAGGGAGTTATCCTGAATATGACTGGAGAGGGAACGATGACCGGCCTGCTGCTCCTCCTCTTCCAGCAGCCTGGCGGGGGAGCTTGCTCCGGTACAGCTATGGTGTGTTTTCCAAAGCTTTTGCCGCCTTTCCAGCACGTATTGGGCCTTGGGCAATGGTGGCAGCTCCTCCCTGCCAGGCTTTGTGCAAGACTTGAGTTCATGGGCCAAGTTGTGCATAGTCTACGAATCGCATGTCCAGGCCTGTCGAGCAAGATCGACTCACGTGGAGGCAGTGGCAGTGGATCCCTGACAGCAACATTCTCAGTCAGCTTCCCTAGTCTGGAACTTAATCATGCAGCAAGAGAATTTGATGCTTTTCAGGAAGTTTATCCTGCAAGTTTGCCATCATCGCCCTATACTCATACACTGGACGCTTGGCATGGCGAGCACGCCGACCATGGTAGCCCCTGCACAGTGCACACATTACTTACTATCTTAGCGGGGCTCTCAGACCCAACGCCAAGAAGCTCTTATCAAAAGAGAAACTTGCAAAGAAAAGTTTGCCCTAAGTGACCTCCCAAGACGAATTTCAGGAGCCTGCATTCTATGCTGACTAGATCGGTGAAACCACGCTTGCAGTGTGTAGCGCAGTCATGCTGCTATTCTGTTCCGTTTTGCATCTTCCAAGTTTTCAGAACCCCAACACAAAAACGAGCTTCTTCCATGAACACAATATTGTTGGGCTCTCCAGTCCAACGATCCAATGTGTCCATAAGACTCTCATTTGGGGCTTCTGAACGCGGGAAATTGGCCAATATCCATCCGGCATCCCAACTGACAAGTTCACAAGTTCACCTCTCCCGATCGTGGTTCTGAGCCTGTTATGTACGGAGTCGCGCTGGCTGTCAAGCATCGCTGCCCTCAAGTAGACGATGCGCAATTTAAATTAAATGTTGAACGCAACTGCCAAGAAGTTTTCTGTCCTGGCCATCCAGAAGATGCCAGAACCAGCACACAATGTACACAATGTACACAATGACACCCGTGTGTAATCCAGCATGCAAATGCTGAGAATACTTGACATACCCAATCATGTGGCTGTTTACCTTTCCACTGCGCATCCCTTTCTGAACCCGTTGGTGCCGGCATATATGAATGGCACGACATCAATTAAAGCTGACTTTTAAGCACATCTGAGGACAAAAGTGGGGAAAACCAAATGATTTCTAGATCGGAGCTCCTGCATGAAATGCAACAGAAGCAACTGAAGTTGAACCATCAAACGTAAGGGAGAGGACACGCAACATCCCCTCTCACTGTGAAGCAGTTAGGATCCAGTCCATTCCAGTCCGGCCCTTGACGTGGAAGTCGAGCCTTGCTTGCTCTGGGATTTTGTTCCTCTCCGGACGGGGCGCCTGGCAGATCAACTTCATCTTCCATGGTTGAACACCTACAGTGGAGTTCTCATATTAGCACTCAACGTAAGCTTGTTGAGTTGCCACATCGAGCCAGGTTGAAGAAAGAGGAGCCACCCAAAGATGCAGCTCTGCTTATTCTCTACGACTTCCAATTCAAGTGCTCACTGGCAGCAAAACTTTAAAAAATCACTCAACAGGGGCAATCCAATCATCTGTGGCAGCCAGGCAGCATAATGGCTACATCCCGTTTTGCGATTTTTCTGGGGACTGCAAAATGTCTTTTGCTGAAATTGCGAACTGCTTTGCACCTTTCGCAAAGCTTAAACCAAGATTGCACTGACACATACGCATGGACACCCCTAACTGTGTACTCTGCCGGTTAAATGCACCTGTCTGGCTGTGTAGAATGCATGGCGCTCCCTGCAGCCTTGAGGACGATCAGTTGAAGCAAAGACGGATCGGGTAAGCACGGTCGGCTCAAACAAAAAACTTCTCGACACGTTCCTTGAGCGTTCGGTGTGTCGGTGGCTGTCTGGACTTGCAGCGTTTGCTGCTGAAGAGTGGCAGCTGCTTGTTCCAAGGCCTTGGCTACAGCCTTTCATCTTGATGGGGACGTACAATGTCACCCTGGAGCACCTCGGCGTCCCTGAGGGGTCTCCCACTCTCAGCTCGAAAGCTGGCAAAATCTAGGTCTCGTCATCCGAGGTCGTTCATGGTCTGCCCAGCAGCATGCACTGCGTGCACTGCGTGTAAGACGCTAGGATACGCGTCGACGAGCCCTGCCGTTGCATCCTTTCCAAGAGCTCCGGCATGCTCTTGCCTGCCGATTATTTGTCTCTGTCTCGGAACATCCGTGTTGTCCATCTCCTGAGTTTGACGCAGCGGGCTTCGTGCAGGCTTTGTCACTTGAGCAGAGGAACTTGGTGCTTCTGAGCAGAAATTGACGAGAGCAAGCAAGGTATTCGCAATTGCAAATAAGAACTCTTTAAAAGCAGACCCATGCTCCCCCGTTCAGGCTATGTTTAGAAACACTATCTGCTTCACCTCCAAGGTGCCACCTACAAACGAAGCGATCAGAGTTGTTCTCAGACTGTACTGCATGAAGCAATGAACGCCAAGGCTTCAACAACACGTCAATAAGAGCAATGGCTGCACAACTACCTCTGTGAGCGAAAGCCACGCAGCAGTTGCCCGCTAGATGGGCCATGATAAAACCATCAACTGGTATTATCCTGACACTTCTTGCGCCTTTGCGCCACCGTTTACTGCCTCGGCCTTGGTCTTACTGCGTGCTCGCGTACAGCGTACATAACAAGTGCGACTGCTGCAAGGCTGACACCTGTAAACAAAGAAAGAACCTCCTGCTTCCAATCACGACGCTTGTGTTCCCGGCATGAGGCTTTGATGCCGACCCGTTTGTGCTCACCTGCACCAAGCGACTATGAAACACCGCTAGAGCTGCAATCGAAGCAAGCATTGAAGCTAAGAATCTGGCAGGGGCAAAGGAAACGGAGGAGTTGGGAACGGTCTTAGCAGAAAACTCACTCGCAAAGGACCGAATAGGTGTCTGTTAAAGGTGCAGTGGCATGCAAGCAAAACCGGCAGCTGTTGATGGGCTTCAGGAACCCTAGCTTTAGGACTCCTCAAGTCTGGAGTCTGGTTGAATTTATGTCTTATTACGTCCCCGTGCCCAGTATGGAACACACAGCGACACTGAGCATCACACAGTCGGCAGCGCTGGAGAGCTGCAAGCAGCACAAGCGTTTGAAGCGCATGAAGAAGGAGAGAGAGAGAGGGAGAGAGAGAGCGAGCTAGAGAGAGATAGAGATAGAGATAGAGAGAGAGAGCTATAAGACTGCCAAATAAATGCATTCCCTGTGGACATGGCCGCGACGACCCGGCATGCACTTGAAAAATGCACGCGTCAGCCCATTCCAATAGACCGGCCACCTGCTCGCGCATGCTTGGAATGGCCCACCTGCAGTGTCCACTGACCCAGCAAATTTGGTACTCAAACGACGCTTCCCTTCACTTGCTTCTTGAAGAGAGCACATGACATAAGGTCGGAACTCATGCGTCCAGACTCACCTTGCAGTTTCTTGCGGTCTTCAGCGGTCCCACGATACAGACCACATCAGACCACCCAGCACCAAAATCAGACTGCAGACGGCGCTGACAAAATTCTAGCACGAACAGCATTCCAAGTCCTGTGAGCAGCTCGTGGCTCACATTCGGCACGCAGTCAGTGAGCACTTAGCTTGTCAAGTAGAGCACCAGATTGATCTGAGATCAAGACGGATAGATCTCCGAAGCTCCTGTCATGGTTGGAATGATGAAGTAAGAAATCTGGGCAAACAAACTGTCGCAAGGAATTGCTGCGAAAGCTGGTAAATTGGGATGCTCCTCCACTTCCAGACCGCCAGAGGCTGCCGACTTGTCTTGGCACGCCTGCTAAACTTGCCCTCTTTCAAAGCAGCTGTTGTGCATCCAATAACAGATTTGCGCAGCCCAGCTGTACCACACAAATCCCAAACCGCAGAACTTAGACGCAATGCACATTCCACAGACCTCCGCTACTGCCCAGCATTTCGCAGAGTCTTGCAAAGGCCTTTGTAGCGTTTGAAGGCTAAAAACATCGTCCACTTGAACCAAGCCTTCTTGGCAGAAAAAAGTACACTTTTGCAAGAGGGATCCCAGGGTCCTTCGAGATGCATAGCGGCTTTTCGAGATGCATGAGCTGGGGCAGGATTGCGGTAGGCTGGCCGACACAAATGTTCGCGTTTCCGAGATGCGTGCGGCCAGTATTGTGAACATCCCCTACGCGAGAGCGTCGGGCCCGGCTGCTTGCATCTCAAAAAACTAAGTCCTGCACGTCGGCCACCTGATGTACCATTTTACTATTTTCAGTATTTACCATTTCCACTCATTCTGATCAGAATACCAGTAACGCTCCACGTCGCTCTGAGGCGCCACAAACATCGAGAAGGTCGTCGATCCCGAGCAGAATTCCGACGACGCTCCGCGCGCCAGCACTCTGAGGCGCCGCAAACACCGAGAAGGTCGTCGATCCCGAGTAGAATTCCAAGGACGCTCCACGCGCCAGCACTCTGAGGCGCCGCGCCGCAAACAGCGAGAGCGTTGTCGATCCCGAGCAGAATATCGAGAAGGTCGTCGATCCCGAGCAAAATTCCGAGGACGCTCCACGCGCCAGCACTCTCAGGCGCCGCAAACACCAAAAGCATTGTCAATCCCGAGCAGAGTTCCGAGGATGCTCCACGCGAGAGTGCCGGACCCGGCCGCTTGCATCTCGGAAACCAAAATATGCAATAATACGTTTGCAAGATGCATTGGGAAGCCTCAAACCCAGATCATGCATCTCGGAAACCGAGTCCTGCATGTCGCCCATCCCAACGCCTATCTTCTTTTTCGACCCCCCCTCCCATTTTTGCTGGGAGATATATGAGGAATTGGAATGTAGACGGGGGGGGTGAACGGGGTTCAGGGTCAGCTACAGCATGCCTTCATACAATCGTCTGAGATTCGTGAACATATCAAGGAGGAAGCCATTGTCCCTACAAGTTGAATGCGCAAGATATTTCCTGCGAGAAGCCGCTTTTTTTTCTGGCTTAATATATTATTTAACTAGTGGGGCCTCACTATTGGAAGTCTATGACCATTCTACATTCATGACACATCAAAGAAAACGCCATTGTCCCTATAAATGTTGAGTGCGCAGGCTACTTCCAGGATGAAAAACTTTTCTTCTGGCTTTAGATAATTGTATGGATGGCTGGATTCCGATAACTTCCGTGAGCCTGCGACCTTCCGAGACTCATGAACACATCAAAGAAGAAGCCACTGTCCCTACAAGTTTGAGTGGGCAAGCTATTCGTATCGGCCAGCGTGGAGTATTCAGGGCGCTTGTTGTGGATTGCAGCAGGGGTAACCATGCAGCAACCAAAATGTACAGGTGGTGTGTACTGCTGCTTTTTGCCCAGCCCTGCCATGGTTCCATGGTCATGCAGAGAGACATTCACAAATCGAAATTACAGGGCCCGGGAGGGTGGTACATATTTTGACTGCGCTACCCGTTCCCCCGTGCGGATTTGCCCAAGCACAATCTTTAGGCAACGTGCTTATTGCACACAAAAGACCCCTTGGATGGGTAGTGAGGTGTACCGATATTATAAATACGCACCTAAGCCTGCCTTTCAAAGTGTACGTGGCCAGCGTTGGTCACCTTGAATTTCACCCGCAAAGCTACCCTAAAGGGACCTTTTCAAAGTGTACTCATTGAGGTGACCGGCCGTGGTCACCTTAACGTACCCCCCACAAAGATCCTTTCTAAGTCCTAAGTGCTTCTCAAGAAGGCGACAGGTGGGGGTCACCTTAAATGCACCCCCAAAGCTACGCTAAAGGGATCTTTTCAACGTGCACCTATTTAGGTGACTGTTGGTGGTCACATACTTACTTCAAAAACTACCTCAAAGGGACCTTTTTCAAGTGTACTACTCATTGAGGTGACCAGCAGTGGCCCTAGCTACCCCAAACGAACCTTTTCAAAGTGTAGCCATTGAAGTGACCGATGGTGGTCACTTTAAACCCAGAGGGACCATTGTTTTTCAAAGTGTACTGATTCGGTGGTCACCTTAAATTTTACCCCACAGCTAGAGCAAAGGAACCCTTTCAAAGTGCACTCATTGAGGTGACGTGCGGTGGTCACCCCCCAAAAGCTACCATTTAACAGTGTATTCATCAAGATGACGAGCGTCACAAATCCGCTTCTTTTCGGAACCCTTGATAAACCACTCCCAAAAGCCTGGGTTTATTTATGATGGTTTATGAACTGCCCCCTGTATACATTTCTGCTCCACGGGCTGTGGAAAATTGACAAATACACCCTCTCCTATATTAATACATTAGCTAGGGGTGGGGATTGTCGGCCCCTCGACCTATGGTATCCCCTTTTGCAAGTTTTTCGGCCTCATAGGGCTCAAAAAGCACCTATTTGCAAGCTTGGCCCCGCACGTGCGTAAGCACCCTTTTCAAGGGATCTTTGGGTCCTCTACGGGCCCAAAACAAAACCGATTTGTGCAGAGCCTTGAGGGCCTTCAAGGGCCTAAAAAGGTACGCAGCAATAGAGCCAATTAAGCGTTAAACGAAAAACCGCGGAAACTCACAGAAAGGCACACAAACTGCACTTGAGACTAAATCAAATCGTGTCGAAGGCACAGGGACTGCCCAGACTGCACGGTTCACCTCCCAATTAGCGTAACCTATCCGCCACCACACCCCCAACCTTGACGAAGCTTTGAGCTTTGGGGCTCAGGTCGACTCATCCAACTTACCAAAGACTTTGCCAGCAAACACGTCCTTCACAACCTGCAAACCCTCTGACGAACAGCCGCTTACGTCGCACACCCAGCACCTAAGACAAATCCGAAGGGCTTCTTTACGACGCGAAATCTGGTGGCAGAATGACGTATGTGCTTTCAGCGGTATGCCCAATCCTTCCAAGGTGCTTCCCAAGAATGCTAGAACCATGCCGAATGAGCAAGCATCATCAGCATTATCCACACTCCGCGTCTCAACCCAGCACTCCAACGCCAAAACCGACTCCGCCCCCCTGCCCCGACCACAGAAGCACCTCCAGCTCAGTAGAATTTGAATGAATTGGAGGGCCCCAGTCCAGAACTGACCAGCAAAGCTGAGCTTTCAAGCAACCCCTCCCCTGCATGTTTGGGATGACTAGCTTGCCCAGCTGAGGGTCGAGCGCAAAAAAAAACACCATGACAGGTGCAAGCCAAGGTCTCATGGGGGGTTCAGAGAAGGGGGCTTCGGGGTAAGGCCACTTCTCGGGCGCCCCATGGCTATGTACACCCTAGTGGCATGCGCCGGAATCGACCGTGTCAGGACAGCCCCTCACCTGAAAATCGAGAACATGTGCTCTTGAGACATTCACGGCCTCCGGCCAAGCTGGGGGTAATCGAAATGCTGCCGAGAGATCAGGAAAGATCCTTGTCCACTCAGCTTCGTTTGCAGAATGCGTTTGCAACAGCTGGGGCTCAAGCTGGCGCAATGGGAGATGCCTGTCCCACCTAGCTGAGGTGTTTAAGGCATCGGACATGCTTCAGAAATTTCAGCACAATTTCAGAGCACGAGCATTTTGAGGCTTACCGTCAGCTCCTTCTGAAGAGACGCCAAAAGGCCAGCAGTTGGCAAGAAATGCCGCAAAAAGTCGCATCCTGTTTCACGACTCAGCGTAGCAGCCTTCACCCAACGGTTGTTGACCTTACTTGAGAGCAGAGCAGATATAAGCAGAAAAAGCTAGTACTCTATTAGTCTGCCAGTTGTTTGTAGCTAGCACGGAACGAAGGTCAAGAACAGGAGACCTACAGTTAGTCTGTGTACGGTGGACACTGGCGGCAACTCCTACCTTGGCGGGGGTTTCTGCACTGGCTCTGCAACCGCAATGAACTGCATCCATCCCTCCACTCCCCCTGCCTAGTCATGAATGATCACTGGCCAGAGAAATTGCGCATGGTCGGGGGATGCTGAATGAAGGATGTATGCAAGTTAGCTTGACATTTCTTGATTGAGGAGATCCCTAATTTAGGCTGCTGCAAAAAAACCATTTGAAAGGCCCATAACAGCAAGGGAAACTTGAGACATTGAGGAAGTCCTGAATTTTATCTTGATTGGACTCCTGTATTTACGTTCTTGTACAAAATGCCTGCTAACCCCTAATTCTCATAAACGTTCTGTGAGATTCATGTTCTATACTTAGCAAGCCCTAGTCAAGCATGACTCCTGACCGTGGCCCCCTACTCTGATAAACACCTCCCTAATTCAAGATTCACAGCCTCCTGGTCAGTTACTGTTAGAAGTCCCCTTACCCCCTCAAACGTACTTCCAGGATTTACCCCTTCAGATTTCTCTAAGGACAACTGAACACTACATACTAAATCCCCATGGCGTGACAAACGTCACAACGCATCACAGCAAATCCAAGGCACAAGTGGGGGTTGGGGCCTTCGGATCTGGGGGCCGGCTCACACCTTTTTTTGTCGGAGATTCCGTCGCTACAAGCTCAGGCAGTTTCCTGTTACTTCAGGCTTGCAGGTGCCAGGGGGGACAACGTATCAAACCAGTCGGTCCAAAAAGGTTCTCCGCAGCCCGGGAAGCAAGAATTAGTAGACAAGAGCTCCCACAAACTCCAAGAAGCTAGCTGTCGTGACTTCCAGGCAGTTAGGTTCCATCCAACACACGCGAACTTGAAGTCAGGCCGCACATCTCCGGCTTCCTCTTGCATTCTCAGCAAATTCTCCTCAGTCAACAGGCTGCAGAACTCCTGGTCAGAAACAAGCTTGAACCCGCTCCTGCCTCCACCTCTTTTTTGACTTTTCTTCCCGGCTTAGCCTGCCAGCGTTGCTAAAGGTTTCGAGGCACAGGAAACTTGATGGAGGAGTCACCAAAAAGCAGACAATGCAGCCGAAACAGAGCACCTTCATGTCATACAAGATGCGATCCCCTTTCTGCAAGTCCTGACTGCCAGCATCAATTATTGCGCCATATAGACTTTTTAGTCCACAGCTGCAAGTTGCTGCTTTCTCGAGCCTCTTCGGACTTCTTGGTTGCGGCATTCACGTTTCCTGCTGCTTTCTGCAAGCCCTGGCCGCGGAGTGACATCAAGAGAAGGCTAGTTTTGGTTTGCTTGCGGGCTCTTCTCGCGAGAAGTTCCTCTTCAGTCATCTTCCACACAACTGCAGACTCCTTTACCTGACACTCAGGTTCCCTACGTGGTCTCCAAACAGAGGCAAAGCAGGAAGATCTTTTCATGCAACTTGGTTGCCGTGGTGGCTGCTTTTTCAGCTGCCGTAATTGCTGCTGACACAGGTCCATCGTCTGCAGCCAGCTCCTCGGTTGGACTGCTAAACAATTCTTTTGCGGCTACCTCCGCATAGCAGCTAGTTGCAGCCCAGCAGGCATTGTACTTGTTGAATGTCTCTTCACTTAATTCCGGGAGGTCCTGAAACAGCTAGCAGTCAGTCTCAGAAGAGCTACTACATTTCTCGTCCGGCATGTCTGCATTTCCGCTCCGTGCTTTGCCAATAAACTAACGAGCAGAAGGAAGCACGGCACCACCCTGTCAGGCTATGTCGGGCCCATGCAGCACCTGATAGCGTTTCTTGCCATCCATGCCATCCTGCGTACCGCTTTCATCTTCCTGCGCACCGAATACACTGAGCGAAAACTTGCATGTAGCCCCATCATGATGTTTGAAAGGCTTATGTCCTCATCATCCTCATCAATGCCACTGCTGCTTGCTGCGTCCTGTCAGTCTAGCAGTTTGAGAAGGCTTGCTACAGCATTGCTGAACAATTGTCAAAGGGCCTCGGATTGCCAGAAATGCGAACGTGGACATTGCACTCATTCAAGCCAGCTGCTGGGGCCAGCCCACTGCAGGCGTAGTTGCATCAAACAGGGTAGGTCCATGACCCCCCACTTATGAACATATGCAAAAACAAAACATGCAAAAGCCGCTTTCCACAGATAAAAAGTTTGTGACTGTACGGATCTCACAGTCGGAAGGTTCCAAGCAAAGCGAGGCAGTACAGAGAGTCAGGGATGTTTTGTTCTGCGTCTGGTTGTCGGAAACATTCGGAAACCCTGCAGGCACCAAAGATGCTTGACAAAGACACGTCAAACAAGACAGGACAAGAAACAAAGATCAACCAACCAATGTGAGAAAGAGGCTCCGCTGACAAACACCTGAGGGAGCACACAAAGCCTCATTTGCACGGAAGCAGTCCTCGTCCTCTGACCCACTTGCCATGCCTGTGTGCATGGACCTGGGGGAAATGGAACTGTCCCGCCGAAGCTAGCAGTCGTCCATACTTGCAGTGAAGAGTCTTCTGATGGGTTTCGTGGCCCACCTTCGTTCAGCTTGTGGAATTTACAATCATCAAAGTGCATGATGTCACCGTACTGTTTCAACCTGCACCTCCTCCAACAGTAGGCTGGGATGAGCATGATGGCTTGAAGAAGACTGGCCTCCAGCAACAGGTTTGCCCGAACACCACGCAACAGGTGACAAAACGCCTCTCTGCAGCAATGCCCAAGGACGTTCTCCAAGCCTGGTCCATATTTGGAAAAGCGTGGCAAATTGGAAAAAGCTACGACTACAGCTACCCACTGAGCTATTTGCTGCTCACTCGGCTCGCGAACACCCTCACAAGCAATTGCCAGCGCACACAGCGCTACATGCATTCCGTCCTGCAACGAAACACAGCATTCAAAGCCGCGCAGCAGTCTGTGAAACTTTGGTGAAGGTCCTTTCGCTGAGGACAACACAAATTGGATTTCACACTCCGACATGTCTTGAGCTTGGTGGCTGGCAGCATACGCAAGCAACGAACATGTCAGCACTTGTCATGAAGAGAACTATAATGGGTTTGACCATGTGCGACGTGTGCAATGAACTCACTCTTCGCGGGGTCACGTGACTGGATGTCAGCCGTTTGTATGGATTGCATTGAGTCTGTGGGTCTTGTCCCTTCTCTCTGCTCTTTCTGTCAACCTTGCTTTGCCTTGCTTTCAAGGGAATGACGGGTTGCCCCGCCGGCCATTTAGGTAGACGATAAGCAGCGTCTTTTGAGTTGCACAAACAACTTCACTAGACCAAACTGGGACTTGGGACAAGATGTGGTCACATAAACAAAGGCAAACCTTGCTACAGCGGTTCCCCAAGTACAACCAATGATCACATCAGTTGTAGGCTATGCCTCTGAATTTCCTTCTGGTCTGCTATAGTTTCGAATTATGGTTCCACACTCAGTTGGGCTCGTTCCTGGCTTCACTTCATGTTTGTCACCTTGGTTCTCCTCAGTTTCCGCTGCGTTGCTGGCAAGGTCAAGAAAAATTCTTCCAGTTAAAAACATCTTCATTTAACGGCCTCCGCAAGGCTGTTGCTCGCAGACGACATACTTCTGGGTCGTTTCAGTCACTTGCAGCCCCTGCAAGGGTACAGTCTGAATTCAGCTTTGCCGCTTTTGCTCTTGCCTCTCTCCCCTGATTTCTCCCCCGGCCGTGGGTCGGCTACGCAAGCCGCCCGCCCCGGCCAGTTAAGGAGGTTTGGAAACATAGTGACGGGAGGGACGCGGCCGTACACGACACTGCTCCAAGGGCTTTCCCCTCAGCCTTTCTTGTTGTAATCTGTTGGACGTGTTCTCATCGGCTGCGGCATGGGGCCTCATGCCCCTTGCTGGGTGGGAGAAGGTACAGAACCCCCCCGAACTGCAAAGGGCGAGTAAAGCGAACCAGAATGGCCTTTCTTTCGTCCCGGGTCGTCCAATCGATGAGCTACAGCAGGTGCACAGAGTTCCGGCAGCTGCGGTGAGTTACCCTCCTGGATTGATCTGGTTCTCGTTACAAAACACCAAGCCGTTGATGGAGGCGCGTAGTGTTCTTCTGGTAATTGATTTGCGGGTTATGGACGCTGCGGTGTTGACTATCAGAGCTCTGTTCTAATTTGCAATTTGATCTGTAAGGGCTACACAAGCCCTTGCTCGCATCTACTCGTCCACCCCCGGGGAAGGGGTACAGCCCCCCCAAAGGGCCAGTAAAGCGAAATACCCCGCGAAAGAGGTAAGCAGAGACTTGAACCAAAATGGCTACATCAACCTTGTTCTCTTTCTCTGTCTGTCTCTCACATGCACATGTCTATTTCTCTCTCTTCTTCTACGCGCTGCTGCGCACATTCTCGAAGGGGCGTGCTGGATCTACACCCCATACATCCCGTAGCGCTTCTCTGCGTGCAAGTACGAGAACGGATCTGATTTCCCTCTCTCTCTTCCCATTTTTCCTCTTCTGGCGGGCGCTTGCGTCCCAAGAAAAGCGTCCGGATTTCATCCGTAACCGGTCCCTCGTTTCGAAACAATGGTCTTGCGTGGGACAGAGCTGTCCATGACAGGTCTTACCGCCTATCGCCATAATGAAAACGTGTTTCAGTTCCAAATTGGAAGTCTCCGCGTCATGAGAAGATTCCCAAAGATCCTAAAGCGGTTTTTTCTGCAGAACTTTTGTGTCCGCGCTGCAGCAAAGCTTCCGTGGACCTCTTGCAAAAGCGGGCGCTCGCGTCCCAAGTAATAGGAGGTGCTCGAGTTGGGGCGATGCGTGGGCAAAGCTTGGATGGTACGCTCCTTGTGCACAAGGGTCGACGCTGGCATTGCCTGCATTGCAAGCGTCGTGCGCTGCTAAACCTAAACTTCAGATGGAGTGGAGTTTGCAAATTCGAGGCTTAGCTGTGCTTGCTTGGAAGAAAACGTCAGACAGAAGCCCGGGCCAGCGCCGCCCCACACACTCAACTGTCCGCAACTCTCAGCGCGACAGGCAGCGAGTTCATCCGCGGAGGTTCATGAACACATACTGGCGCCATGCAACTGGCATCATTACATTGAGACCAAGGGTGTTGAGCTACACTTGTCAGGGGATGTTTTTGAAGGTGCAATAGCTCCATCCAATTTCCCACCATCAAAACGGGAAATCGAAAAAGCTCTCAAAATGACAACGTTTCATGTCAAACATATTCGAAATATTCAGAAGTTGCATTCACTGAGCAAATAGCAAACAACTCGCTAGCATCTCGGATGATCTTGATTTATCACCGTTTCCAAAGGCCAACATAGCCCGAGAGAACCTCCCTGCCTCTGCCAGGCCGTCGCCCAGGTTGGGGAGGGTGGGCGCTCAAAATTTGCCCCCGCCTTCTCCGGGCCTTGATATCAAAGTCAAAGTGGCCACGGTATCACATACAAAGTCGTTTCCCAAAGTCAGTGGTATCTGCTGCAAGTTGTGGGCTAAATTGCAAGTTCTGGCTACCTCCGACTTGGCCCTGGCAGCCAACATCTCAGCAACAAAGACGGACAGCTCCAGGACATAAGGCTTAGGTGGACACCCACCCTGTTATAGGGCTTTTAGCCCAGGACATAACATAAATAATATCACGTAACCTTCGGGCTGCCATGTCGGGCCTCATTGCCCAGCAAGCAACAAGTCAAGGCCCGAATTGTCCTGCTGAAGTAGCTTTCCAATGGCAAGCAGCCCAGTCGCACAACAGCATAGTAGGCTAGCTAACGCAATGCATGTGGCCGAACAAAAGTTGCGGAAAAAGTGGGTACCGATGCCCGTTTTAGTCATGCAGCTCTTGCAGCAACGCTCGTTGTTGGTGCTCAAAATTTCTTTTTATTCACGCTGCTCGGTCTCGAGCTGAACGTTGCTCAGGAAAAGTTGACGCTGCACTAGTGGCGCGAATGCTATTGAAGCCAGCTAAAGCCAGTACCGCGATTCCTATGTCTGATGCCCGGGAGGCTAAGAAAAGAAAACAAGACATATTCAATGACAGATTCGATGACATATTCAGAGCAATTTATGCCCTTCTGGAACCTCTGTTGCCAATACATGTTCAGGGGGTTGCTCCCATGCTCAATCTTGAAAGGGGGGCCTCGTGGTGCACAGCCCTGTCTAATATTGCACTCCAATGTTCACAATATTTCACAAGTGTTGAAATAAGACCAAGGATACATAAACGCATATGCATCTCTGCAAGATTCTAGCAGCCATTTTTTCTTGTTTTCCAAAGTTTCGGGATTCTCGGCAAAGTTGTTCTTTGCTCAATGAGGACTTGTTGCAAAGTTTCCCTTCACAAGTGTTGAAATAAGACCAAGGATACATAAACGCATATGCATCTCTGCAAGATTCTAGCAGCCATTTTTTCTCGTTTTCCAAAGTTTCGGGATTCTCGGCAAAGTTGTTCTTTGCTCAATGAGGACTTGTTGCAAAGTTTCCCTTGTTTCCATTGAAAGCTCTCTATGGTCCAGGCAGCACTTTTGACACAAGACGGAGTTTTGATCTGGAACGCAGCTATTTGATCTTGCTTATGTTGCGTAAGTTGGACTGTTTCCGAACGCACATATCGCACATGTCACTTAAACGAAAACAGTGGAATCCAAAACTTGTGGTTTCCACTTTATTGCGGCACGTCGCAGCTCTGTTTTCTTTGACTCGTTGAACTACTTCCATGTGATTGTCTATACCAAGATGGGTTGCTTGCGTTCTCCTTGGCACAATAACGCCATCCATAAACTTGATCAAGGCTTGTCAAGATTAGGTTATATTAAGTCTCATGTTGTACTTTCCCGACGCTGGTTGGGCCTTCTCCAATCCAATGGCCTCCGCAAAAGGGCACTCTGGGTAGCTTTGACTGCTGGCACGCACATCAGTGATCTTGCTTACGCTCATGCTGCAAGACAGTACCAATGCCTGCTCACTCAGCTTGGCAAAAGGACTTGGCACCACTTGTTGCAGTGCCTGCTTCTTCCCCGAACATAATGACCACTTTTTCGTCAAAAACGAATGGAACCAACCGAAGTCTGAGCGTGAGTCATCACTAGCTGCTTTCTAGCTGCCGGCTAGAATCAAGGCTTTTCACGCCTTGACAGGTTTTGGCGGGAAGCCAGCAACAATTGCCACCCCATCTGGCTAGTGAACGTTACGGGAAGAGGCTGAGACTCTGCTTCGCCAGCCCCCTGAGCTTCAGGAAGCCATGTTCGAGCTGAAGTCTGAACTTGTTTAGGGTTTAAGGGTGCCCGCAAGTTTATCCTCGGGCGCGGCCCGGCACTAGCTCGGGCCCGAGGCTTAAGCCAGAAAGGCTACGATCAAGGTTATCTTTGTCGCGTCTATTGCGCGCAGATCTCTCTTCTTTTAGGGTTGGGGAGCATGCCCTGCGTGCAGGTACGCTCCCCGCTCTCCTGTTCGCAGCTCTCCGGCACACTTTGACACGACAAAACCCTGCAGCAAAGCTTCGTAGGGCCCAGTCTGGGCTGCTTAGGCAATGGCTCGGGCAATCGAACGCGAAGATCGAGACCCACGGGGAAGCGGCCCATTGTCAGCCACTGCGCACAGCGGCAATGCATGACTACATGCGTGTGCAGTCAATCAAAGGCCTCCTGCATGGTCCAACCTGGCAAAGGTCCATACTCCTGCGCGTAGAAGAACATGCTTTCAAGTCCATGACAACTATTTTTAAAGTGTATCGCGCATGATTCGCATGTGATGATGATGCAAGGCCGCAAGGCATCCTGGCCGACACTGTCCAAGTAAAGCCACCGCAGCCTGAGAGACAGAGCTACAGCCATCTGCTTGCGAAAAGCCGCCACACTACCATCGTATGGGTGCCGCTCTGTACATTGTACGGTCACTCTGCTGTCGGCTGTGCAACAGGTGTTTGCTTGCACACACCTTTTTTCGTCTACCCCTCTTGTTTTGATGTTTGCTAAACTTCGGCCACTACATCTTTCATGAAGTCTGGATGCAAAATCCCGTCATTCTGTAAGAAAATCTGGCAGCTGGCATCATTAAAGCCGGAGATGTCGTCAGCAACTGGCAACAACCCGCGGTTGACCTCGACCATATCGCTACGTCAACAGTAGCTTTTTTGTCCATCTCGACATGTGCAAAGAACAGGAGCCCATTTCACCCTGGTCGTTGTTTTGGCCAGGCCAGACCAACAGACAAAGCTGTGTGACATGTGAGGCATAGCCAAGCGCCATGTGTGATGCTGCCAGGGCAGCAGCTGAGTGGCAAAACATCGATGTCTTAGCACACCTGCACTTGAATAGCTCACATCCTGCGCAGCCCCTTGTTCTCACTCACGTTGACCGTTATGTAAAATTCCAATAATTAGGAAAACGATGCACGACGAGCCAAAAGTACGGGCAGGAAGAAGAACAAGCGTACATCCTGACGCATTGTCTCTGAAGGATTGGCGGTTGCTGAACGAAAGCAAATTCAGTGAGCTTGGCACTTGGGAAAACTGAGGCTGACCTAGAAGCAAAACATGAACGGTGCCGGTTGATACATAAAATGCTGCAGTCATTACAACCTTTCAAACAGCTCACCCAGCAGCAAATTTTCAAACAAGTAACTCGTGCAGTTTCCGTCCATGATCATCAGCGCGACTTGCTGCTTCCTCTGCAGACCTTGGGTGTGAAAGCGGAATGAAAACGCTATGCCACAAGGCAACACGAACACATATCCGCAGCGCTTTTGTTGCCAGCTCCCCTGCTGAGCGCATTGCAAGCACGGATATTGCGGGGCAGTATGCCGGAACGCAGCCGGCATCTGCGCATTAAGCTTCTGAAGACTCGAACAGAAAGCCAGTGCAACACCAGGAGGCAACTTCACCCTCACGTCTCCATCCAACTGTCAAGCCCTGCGAACCTGCAGACGTGCCACCGGCAAACGCCTCCCTTGTTGCACGCTTACAAAGCGAGCCTAGCACAAGTTAAGTTGAGTTGTCATGCTTGCATGCTTCATCGGCGCAACACGTCGCAGTATGGTCTTTGCATTAATAAACTTTGTGCTGGTGGCTTGCTTGCTTTTCAACATAGGAAGCTACTTGTCTGGGGCATTCCATTGCAGCTTTATGCTGGATCTGACTCAGTCTTGGGACGCACGTACTACTTGCTGGAGCCAAAGCGCATCACAAAGCAGCTTCATGCCAAACCACAGCTGGAAGCAAAGAACGTGGCAGGAAAATGCGCGCATGAAGTTGACGCATGCAATGCACAACCTAGGCTTACACTTGCAAAGCCACCAGCGCAAAGTATGGATCGCAATTCACAAGCACAGCGAATCCATCACCATCATCGTGCGTGTGAACAGTTGTTGGTTTTGAGGACGATGTTCACGCGCCCCTGTGCGAGCATAGGAAACAGGCCTCTCAGGTCCATCACCCTATGCTGAACTGGGTGGCCGACGTTTGTCGGATGTTGTCGGTAAATGTGTAAGAACCCAGTCTAGAAAAACCACAGTGCTACTTGTGAATGCGTGCGCTTTGAGTCTGGCTTATGCCGCCTAAACCTATGCTGCACCGCTACACAAGTCTTTCAAAGTAGCAATGAAGGTCTCTTGAGTGCTAGGATGCAAGCGTCCCAAAAGCGAACGACAGCTACCAAAACAACAGAGGCAGGATAGCCCTCGTAGAGGATGCCCTTGACCAGGTTGAGGATTCCAACCAGAATTACAGGGATACTTCGCGCACAAGCTCAATGGCTGCGCGTGGTCCTCCAATGCAATAAACTGCTTGTGTGCGAACAAGCTTTTCAGGGTCACCAGGAGACCAGAAAGTCTTCTATTCCAATTTGCAAGAAGGAAACCGAAATGTCCTGGGCTCTTCTGCTTCTCTTCCTTTTTGTTGATCTCTTTGGACTCAAGTCAGAAAGTCTCGAAAAAATCGACCGCTGCTTCGTCGACTTTGGACAAATCGGGGACATTGACATTGGGAGCTGGCTGTGCAGGACAATGTCGGTTTCTTTTTCAGGAAGCTCTCCTATGGAAAGGTATCCTGAAGCGAGGTCACTGCCACCTCTGTGACCTTCCTTATCCTTTTTACCTCTCTGGCAGGTAAGTCACCGGGACAGCTTGCAGCCGGACGGAGACAGCTGTTCAACACCGTGAATTCGTGGTCATGTTGGCCACTTGTGGCCCAAGGGCACATGTCGGAAATAAAGCTACTTTACAACTGTCGGTTGGCTCCGCCCGATCCGAAATCCTCCAATGGCAAATGCAGGTAGCGTGGGAAGGATGTGCCAAAGCAGGTCCCAGACAAGTCTGTCCTCCGATCTAGTTGTACTCAGCACCTTCCGTCGCCAGACTGGTCGCAGTGGCACTGGCCTGGCTTCTTTCTGCTTGCTGCGCTCATGGAATCCATTCGAAACATTTCGAAGCACTTTTGAAACCTCATGTTGAACTGTGCATGAAAACTGTAGCGAACAAAATTTGAAACACGAGTTCCCAGTGCAACCCCAACCCCTCTCGCTGCGCTCATAATATAGTGAATATAGTGCCACCTTTTCAACCTCGCTCAAGCCGCTTTCCGTTCCACCACGTGCAGTGCACGCCTACGCCGCTTTGTTTCAGGCCGTTTTCTTGCGTGGCACCCCAGCAGTCATCTGTGCAAAGCCTGAGTTGCTTCTGAGTAGTTGCCTGTCGATCTGCATTCATATCTCTACCATCAAATGGTTTATGCACTGGACAAAGTTGGAGTGCACACACCACTCGAGCATGCACAGCTTCACCATGCACTTCTACATTTCCACATGAGGAAGGGTTTCTCCACTGCGTGCACCATGTGCATCAAGCGCCCGGAGATAATTCGTACGTTTCGAAGAAGGATAAGAATGCAATGGACAGACGAGCATCGAGAGAGGAACAAAGGCAGGGATTAAGCACGCAACTAGCCATTTCAAAGGCTTCACTAAGAAGCTTTGATTTAGGTGCGGATGGACGGGAAAAATCGCCTATGTGACCACAGTCAATCGATCAAGCTGATCCTAGCATACCGGTGTAGACCTCCAGCTACTGAAAACAGCACTTCCAGAGGAGCACACCTGGAACAAGAGTTGCCATGTTACTTGAAAAGCTGACCAAGCACATGCTCAACTTCAAGAGCATCCATAGCAAAACCTGACAAAGAGCAGCAATATCGAGACACCACATTGCAGGCGTTAAGTGATGAACAACTGGGGAAGATGATGCCGAGCTTCAACAATTTGAGATGGAAAGCAAGCGCAAAGCAAGCACACGCAAAGCATGCATGTGGGCATGCTGCAAGCTTTTCATGACACAAAGGAAAATCCAGTGGCAGCAGCACAACTCTCGGCTGAAGTTGAAGTAGTGCCAACCGGATGGGTTGCGAAGACTCTCTGCCCAGCCTCAGCAAGACTCCAATACTTCACCCCGTCCATTCGGAACCAAGTAGTTCAGTTCTTCGGTGGTTGGGCCACGTGAGAACTCATTCTTCTTACAACAGTCTACACCCAAAAAGCGAGCAAGCAGGTAAGCTCTCAGCACTGACGGGTTGCTGATCTGCTGAAGCTCCTAGATACCAGCACTCGGCACAATGAGCGTCACTTCATCTGCATGTCCGTACGACTGATCGCGCCCATGTCACAAAAAAACTGCATACAGTACGCTGCAAGGAGGCCTGTGCCTCAATGCCTCACCTGCCATTGAGCAAGTTGCTTGATTGACACCTAGATATCACATGCAATGAAGGGCCCTTACGTAGATCATGTAGGACGTCCCTCCTGATGCTCCTGGATCCATCCCCCAGACCCTCTGAAGGTAGGTCATGCAGCCACAGAGATATCACAACGTGTGTTGTGCGTCTGACTTATGGTACGGCTTTGAATTGCCAACTTGTCAAAACAAGATATTTTTCGATGCTGGCTTGCTGTCAGACTTCTTGTACTTACTTTCTGCCAAGGCAAAGGAACAGCCAGAGGGCAATCAGATTTTGGGAAATAATTGCTTTGACCCTCCTGGTTGCATCAACTCACCTAGTGGCAGCCTGGAATGCAGAGCTTTTTCTGCAGTTCGTGGCAGTTGCGGGTGCTTTTGGTGTAATCTTGTGCAGCTCCACTTTCTGCAGGCCCCGTCAAGGGTCACAGCCAATACGACAAGAAAACAACACTTCAGCGGCTTGTGTGAACTCGCTTGGCCTGCGCGACAGCCTTGCTGCAAACAGCAGCCGCAGGATTTGCAAGTCTCCAACTTCGGCCATCCTGACACACCACCAAAATCCACCAAATGCTTCTTCATAAACCAAGCAAGACAGTTAAAGCTCAGCAGCTTTTTTTCATGTGCAGACTGCTGTGGCGAAACTTGCAAGACATGTCCAAAAGAAATACCGGCTCAAAGTACGTACAACATATTGACGACCGATTGTTAGACGATGCTTTGGCTTTGCGCCATCAGCATGACCCGGAACAGCTGCTTTGCAGAGATGGTGTTGGTCGCGCCACAATACCGATGAGCCATCCAACTGTCAGTGCCTTTTGACCTTGTGCTTGGTGGCGTCGACATTCTGCCCAGCCGCAGCTTCAGCTTCGAAGCAGCCACCGTCCAGTCTGGGTGGATATGGGAACGCAGAGTTTCCGGCCAAGTCAGGCATCATGTCCTCAGCCAAATTGAGATAGGCACAAATGCGGATCTTAGATGATCTTAGAAAGTGTGGGTCTGCATTTCTGAAAGGGTTGAGCCTACTCATGAAGGCTCTTTACTGTAGGCAGACACGTGGTCCTCCCAGCCTTGAACCATCTGCAAGAAGAATGACAGCTCTGACACAAATGCGACTGTGAGAGTCGGCCTTCGTGACTGGCTTATATGCTGTGCGTTTATCGACCTTGCTTGGCAGGAAGAATGCTGATGACAGGCCAAGAATGCTCAACAGCCTGCAACCTGCCCCCAAGAAGTGCCAGCCACCAGAAAGGGTAATGTGAGAAAGCAATTCACCTCTCACACTTCAGATTAAGATCGGTCAGGTTCATCTTGCCCCCAATACCAGCCCCAGCATACATGCTGAAGCCCTCATGCATGCAGGCTCTCAAACGAACTAAGATCTCTCAGCCCGTATACGCATGGTACGTGAGCAATGTCCACCAAAAGCTGCTAGGGCTCTCCACAGATTGCAGGCTCCTGGCAACATCTCGCCAGCCTTCCATCCAGCCATCTGCGGGGAAATAAAAATTCTCGCAGCCTGCCCAGAAGGACAATGACACAGCAAGAGAATCTGGCCTGCCAAACCTGGCCTTCAAGCTCCAGCTTACTTCCCACGCTATCCAAAGATGTTCCAGCAGTTGGCGTCCGGTGATTCAGAGCCTGATATGCAGATACATCGCTTCAAAGCCGCGAGCTGGGGGCAGCACGCGCAGCGAGAAACGTAGATGGTACGTGACGCCGTCTGCAAGAGCTTGTTGTCTCCCTGTCAGATGAGGAGAAAGGAAGCACCACATCACCATGTCTGCTGGCACCGATGTTAGAAGCCTCCGCAAGGCTTATGGTAAAGTGGCTGGCACCGGTCAGCAGGGCCAAGTTTTCTGGGTACACTGATCTGTGCCTGATGGATGGAATGGAACACATTCTTCTGATAGCCAACGCTGGCTGCCCAGGTGCTCACCCCGGAGTTCCACAAGCATTGTGGAAGGCCGAATCCACAGCCTCATTCGATCACTGCTGTTGTTTCCCTCTGCTCTCCAGCACGTGGCAGCTGAGACCACAAATCACCAGCACTCACACAACTGATTTTTGAGATATGCCTGTGACACTTCTTGCCAAGCCACTCCGCACCGGTCGGCCTGGTACCATGCAGCAGCAGGACTGTGCAACTGGAGGCATCAGCCGCAGTCGCAGGGTCAGACAGTACCTGGCCAACTGGGCTGAACTTCACGAACGTCCGAGAACATATTTATCATGAGCCCAAACTTGCCTTTAGGTCGATGCCTCTGCCCTGAAGCCGGCATCGCTGCAGAGGATCGAGCGAAGAGGGCTGCGGCCCACGGTAGCAAACCTTTCGTCGTAGAATGCGAACAGCTTATACTAACAGACCCCATGGATGGAAGCAAAAAAACATGCAACCTGCGCTTTCTCGCTGAAATCAACTTCGGTGGGTGCCGGAAAACTTTGCGCAAAGTCGTTCACCTGAGATGGATGCCAATGAGCCCAATTCAAATCTCAGAACGACAAACTGCGTGAGAGAGGATTACTCAAAATTTCCGTCACGGTCGCGAAATGCCGCACGAGGCGAGCATCCTGCAAATCTCTGGCAGCAAAGAGCGAACTTGTCGGACAGCTGTACTTCCGTACTTTATCGAACCCTGCGCCTCAAGCTAGAGCAGAAACTTCTAATTTTGCATAGGCGGCCGAAAGTCATGTGTAGGTCGACAGAAGTTTCTAGCCTTTAGCTGGCTGTCTCTCTTGCGTAGCCACTTCGGGCTACCAACGCCTTCGCTTCTTAAGCATTTTAAGCTTGTCAAATTTTCCGATGTTCACCAAGAAGCCCCAAATTCATCTGATCTGAAAACACAGCACAGCTCCCGATAATGGGTACGGGGGTATCCGCCCTGCATTTTAGCTGAACTATTAACCCATGAGAACACACTTGTTACCAAGCAACAGTGCATTTTCAAAAAAGCGGCTCTGACTCTGAACTCTGACCGAACTGGCTACAGACATCGAACTTGATTCAACTTGCCAAGACATGCCAAGCTGTCTACCGGCTCTCACTCAGCGCACACGTGCACAACACGTCAAGGAGCTGCCAGTTTGTTTAGGGGAGGTGCTACTATCTTGCAGGACGACGTGTGTTTACAAGTTGGGTCCCAACTTATTGGTTCGCTGGCCAGGCATCAGCGAGAGTAGCTGCTACCGCGATTGAGGAGCAAATGACAACTGAGCTCAGACAAACCTTGGAAGCGAGGAGAACTGGATGCCAGGTGGCTGAACATGTGATCAGCATACATGCTTACGTCAATGCATACCTAGTCTTGTTTTCCTTAATGTTCTGGCTCTCCCAAATGGTTGCTACTAGTTGCTTGGGGACCTTGGAGCTCTGATCCAGATAGCCATTTGTAAGCCCCGGTGAGTAGTGGACAGGACCCGAACTTGAGAGCAGCGCGCACGAAA